TGCTTTGTGAATGTTAAAGTCTGTTCTTTGAGCAGCAGGCGGCCAGTGCAGGGATCTTAGAACCGGCTGCAGGTTTGTGCCGTGACAAACATGCCGGCATGAAGGCGGTCGTGTGAGAGGAGGAGGGAGAATCTGCAGAAAGCATCCCTTACCTTTCATGCCATAGTAGGAGAAGCGTTCACAGAACTCATTCACCACTATGAAGCAGATGCTGGTTGGGTAGTTGGTTCCACATAGTTTCTAAAAAAAAAAAAAAAAAAAAGAGCAGCAACAACATGCAGTCAGAATAAATTCGCCCACACTTTTACAGCACGCCAATAAATGAGACAAAGAAAGCCAAGGGGTCACAGTGGATCCACACCAACGTTATCTTCCGGCGCTTCGCCAATTCTGGACAAACGCAGATCCAATCGATAAAGTCTCCATTTCCTGCTCCTGCCGTGACGGGAGGGGAATGTTGTCGATGTGGCTCCGTTTGTTGTGACATTCCAGGTTAATTATTATGCACAAATAGCGGTTTTATGAAAGTTTAACTGCGGTGAGACCTGATAGGATCAGACGCTGTGTGGAAAATATATGATCAGCAACACCATTTCGTACCATAAAATGTCACGCCGCATTGCATTCATATTCCCTCTGTTTAACCCACTGGTTACAGTGACAACATCCTGAGGAAATGCACTGAAAAAACAGCTTCAAATGGAGCCTTTAAACATGGGAAATACGCATACGCAGTGTTGACTTGCCTTCGTAGGTCTGATCACGTTAGCCCAGTAAGACTCTTCTGCTGTTTGTGGCTCAGTGACACAAACAGCATCTTTGCTTCTTTGCTGGAAGCTCCCTGGAGGATCCTACCAAAGGTTCCTCTTTTGCTCTCACCTTTTATAGGGTTTATCCACCCTTTTGGTGCATTTGCATTGCCTAGCACTGTTGCTGTGCTCGTTTCATTGTCTGTCTGCTTGGACAGATGATCTCTTATCCATCACTGTCTTAGAGACGTTATGTCTTGATGTCTGTGCTAATGTCTCAGGATTGCTCAACGTTCCCCCCCCCCAGGTTTTATTTTTGCAGCGTTTAAGTTGTTCAACAATCTGTTTCCAAATAAGGCATTGATCATCTCTGCCCTCCTGTTAGTTCCTCTTTCACCCCTAACCTTTCACCTACTATCTACCTCCACACATCATCAGTGATCTTTAATTGCAGTTACATGATTTACACCAATTCAGTTCAATGTCAAATCACATCTATAAACCCTTTTGGTTTCTTTGATGTAGGTGCATTTATAATATTATATTATTATTACTCTTATTATAATCGTAATGTGAGTTAGAAACAACTCACTATGTAGAAAACAATATGGTCTACTCTGCAGACCATATTTGGTCATATGGTCACTATATATCTGATATGACCAAAACTGTGGTCATATCAGATATATTTGGTCGTATGACTCCGAATGTACTATTTCAGTCTGCCCAGAGAGCAAACATCAAGTATGGTTTTCATCTGAAGTGTCAAATATCGAACCGGCTGACCTTTTTGTTTGTTTAAAAAAAAAAATGTCAACAACAAAAACTTCTAGAGTTTCTAAGCACGACTTACTGCACAGCAACACCTCCACACTCAGATGCATCGCCTGCCATAAGTGCAGCACAGATGAATGATCAGGTCAGTATTGGTTAAAAAAAAAAAAAAGAAAAAGTGATCATCACATGTATGAAGTGCTGCTTGGTTAGGATGCAGTGAAGGTGATCAAAAGACTCCAAAACTTATACATGCTCCTTTAAAGCAATAGGAAACTTGTCCACACAGGTTTGAGGACCAGCCAAACTTGTCTGCCCTCCACTGACAGCAACTCGGCACAGACAATCATCTGAATTTAACCTTAAAAACAAAAACAAGCTGTCATGTGGTGTTGAAGCCTCGTCGATGTTGCCAGAACAGACTGAGTCCGGTGCAGCAGTGAGGACAGAGATGCGTGTCCCTCCCGGGGAGGACAAGTCAGAGGGTTTTACACGCGTGGCAATCGGCTTTCACCAAAAGCAACTTTTTTTTTTTTTTCGCAGAGGAGGCGTCATTTCACCCCTGATCAAACCGAACCCCGTCGGATCCGGACCCGGAGAGCCGGGAGAGAGATAAACAGACGGGCCCGAAGGAGACCCGCGACTTTTCAACAAACCAGGTTTTTAAAAAGAAACAACAACAAGAACAACAACGCGCACACAACCAAAGTAACGGAAACATGCAAACTGATGCGCACATTTCACACACGGCGGTCTGTTTACCTTCCCCATGTTGATCTGGTTTCCACGCAGCTGAGCGACTTTTACAGTTTGTCTGATTCTGTGTTTACTGGAGCATCTGGCAGCTCCTGATTCACCTCCAAGACCCTCCCTCTCTCTCTCTCTCTCTCTCTCTCTCTCTCTCTCTCTCTCTCTCTCTCTCTCTCTCTCTCTCTCTCTCTCTCTCCCTCTCTCTCTCTCTCTGGTCTCTGAAATAAATCAGAAGAAGAAGACAACACTCGATCACGCAGCTCGTAAAATCCGCCGAGGACACTTTTAAAGTTAATCTTCCACCACCGGGGAGGAAAACTTGGGACTTATCGCCACTTTTATGAGACAAACTGCGCCTTCCCGTCCCGATCCGACCCAAACAGCTCGAGTTCTGTCCCGACGATCGTTAAGAGCCAGAAAGTTGGGCGTTTGAAAGTCACTTTCTGTGGCTCAGGAGGCCCGCGAGTGGCAGTGGGGAGGGAGGCGGAGGGGGGGGGGGGGACCCAGCAGCAGCGGCGGCTGCAGCGGCTCCGGCTGCACAATGGCGCTGTTGTTGCTACTGTTGTTGCGCTCGGACGCAGACCTGGTCCTGGATCCAGGGTCAAAGCCTCCCCTCTCCGGCCAAACCATTTCAAAGGCATTCTGATTAAAATCCCTATGAGCGACACACACTCCCTCTTAGTGTGTGTGTGTGTGTGTGTGTGTGTGTGTGTGTGTGTGTGTGTGTGTGTGTGTGTGTGTGTGTGTGTGTGTGTTTGTGTGTGTGTTAGTCACAACGCTGCAGCCTCTTCCATGTCACCGATAAAGTTCCTATTTTCATCTCACCCGATTTACATAAAAGTGTCACGTTAGGTTTTGTCGTTTTGCGTCAGGTGCGATGGAGGGTTTTTGAAACATGAGACTTCCCGTCTTCTGACGTCACTGCAGCCCGATAACCACTGCGGTCATCTGGTCATGCTGAGCGAGGCTGCCCACAGAGATAAAGTCCTGAGCTCACGCTGGTTCTCTGATTCTGCTTTTTGCGGTCACAGTGACGCGCTTCGCACAGGGCCGCAGCCAGGACGATAAGGGGCCCGCGGGCTGAGGCCGGTTTTGGTGCCCCATACCTGGAGAAAAAAAGAAATCAATCAATTTGATTTAAATTTCATTACATTGATGAATAAGCCTACACATCAACAGGGTGTTTAAAGACGTCCCATGTGAGAATTTCAGCGTCGTTTGACATTGATAAAAACGTGCCGGCCTTTGAACGCCTCGCCTCAGGTGCGTTTCATGTGAGGGTCAGTGGAAGTTATGCACAGAGACCCTGAATGTTGTCATAGGAGATGATCTGATGATCTGGGTTTATGTGATACAAAGTTCTATTCAGACAAGGCTGCTGAATGAACAACTTGACCTTCAACCTTTTAGGGTCCAAACAGCCTGGCGAGGAAACACGTTTCAGAACAATGAGTTCAATAAGCAGCAACAAAATGTGGCGCTTCGTGGGAACTTGTACACGAGCTCTGAGATGATGGTCTAGAAAGTGGCCCGTGACCTTAGATACTGTGTGTTGTGTCTTCAAACTCCTTTGATGCCTTCCACTGACTGATACTTTGATGCAATAAAATCCCTTCAATACACTAAAGTCTCTGCAGGAAACTGTCCTTCAGACAGCAGAGTTCAACTGAAGCGTGATTGGATTCGCTCTCGAGAAGACATTTTGTGCTCTCCCTTGGACAGATTCTCCTGAGACGCAGCGGACGGACTCATCAAGGACATCGTTGGTCGTTAAGCTCAGCTTGTTGCGCCGAACCAACAGGTTTTTTTCCTTCGGTTTCCTCCTGTAGTCCAAAGGTTAATCTGTAATTTAAAGTCAATGACGCTGTGTAAACGTTGCCGGTCCGTCTTGCGAGTCCCTCTCCTTCTCACTCAGTGATCTGCAATGGATAGTCAAGCTTTCATTTCGCATTCGGTGGCAAATTAAAGAAAAGCTTCACAAAGAGCAAGAAACAGACAAGAAGCAGACAAGACAGGGGCCCAGATAAAACAATGCAGTACCAAGTACATCCACAAGAGAGCACCAGTGGTCAACAAGTAAACTGAACACACCCAGTAATGCTACAAAATAAAAGATTAAGTTAAATCTATATTTATACATATATGTATGCTGAATATCACCTATAAACAACTATATATTGAGCAGTCATATACAATAAATGATAAAATTCTCATTTATCAGATTAAAGATACTTTTAGAAAATTGGCAATCGTTGATCAAGTATTAAACATAAGGCTACATTTCTGCCTCCCCCCCCCATCTGATGTAATATTCTAATTTTGAACGTCATGTTTTCAATGACCCGCAAGTTGAAAGTCATCAAAACACAGAAGTAACGGCTTTAAAACGTCCATCTGTGTGTGATTAATCTACACAATGCGGTTCGCTTGGTGATGAAGTTCCTGAAATAACTGGACTTTTCAACAATGTTCTGACTTACCAGTCATGCATTTCCTCATGACTTCAGAAACACATAACAGAGGCAGGAACTCCATGTTTGCAGTATTTATCACATTTAGTTGTCATCCATTAACACTTCAGTACATGAAAATGGATCACTCTATGGGATCCTCACCCATTTTCTACTATTTGATTCAAAGTAAGGAGAGAGGAGGAAGTTACCAAACTTTTCTTATTCAAACTGATCTTAAGCTCAAAACAGGAAACAACCGACTGGAAGAACGAAACATATTTACATATTTTTTAATTTCATAAAGTAAATCTTACAGACAAAAATATCGCAGGTTTGTACTGATCTAAAAAACAGTTCAAAGAAATGCAACGTTTAAAAAACAACAACAATCCTTTGATATTAGACTAAATGCAACTTGTTTTATATGAATCAAAGTTTCCTCTTTGTGAAAATGCAGGGCTGCCATCATCTGATGAAAACGGATTAACAAGACGGTGCTTTTAATATTTAAAGAATAATAAATCCACAGCCGTAGACTCATTGTTTTTCTAGATGACTCAGCCCCCCTTTACTCTGATACCTCCAAGTACAATTCAGTGCGACCAAATGTCTTCAGAATTAGCGTCTTGACCGAGAGTCTGCAGCAAGTGTGATTTCACTAGATGCTTGTTGGAAAGCATGGATGAACAAGGAGCACAGCAGACACTGGCAGGGATGAGTTGTGACGAGCTTTTGAAGCAAAGCATGCCCACACTGGAACAAGGTGGTGGCAGTATTATGCTACGGGGATTCTTTTCATAGATGAGGAAGCAGGAGAGAAGGGTGGAGCTTAAATACAGAGCAACTAAAAAAACGATTAGACTTCGGCAGAACTGTAAATTTATCAATACTCACCGTTTCAGCAGAGAGACCATTGATAACTGAACTTTATGGCTTTCATGCTAAACACTGTCTGCACACGTCAATTTGAGTCTCTTATACTGAAACATGGCGGCAGCAGTATTATCCTGTGGTGATGCTTTCATTTCACAATAATGCTCTTCTTTTTGTAGCCATGTCCCATAAAATAAGGTAAAATCATACATTAAGACCTACGGTTGTGATGCGATACCCTCATTGGGTATTGATATTCTTGCTTAGTACAAGTTCAACGCTTGAGAACTTTCCTGCTGTTTGAAAACATTTGGACTAGAGTCATGATGTAAAATGACGGAAGCCCGTTTAAAGAAGGAACCAGCAACTCGTCACGCTGACAAAGTTAGCATCTCCAAAGCGGCGGACAGAGACAAACTCCAGGATAAAGCCGTTGTATTTGCAGAGAGGCGGTTTGGCTGTGTTTCCTCTACTCTGCAGCCTGTGCTGCATGCCTCAGTTACGGCTCATTCTGTGAACTCTGCAGAAACAAAAGCTCGGTGACACGATAGGAGCTCAGTTTGAATACCAAACAACCCAGGGAGGGAAAAAAACAACTCTCATGCTGTCGCTCTCTCGGCCGGCGCTGCTCCTCTGTCTAGAAACCGGAGGTTGATTGGAGCCGCCGGGCAGAGCAGAGTTCTGGTGATCGGCTTCACCGTCTTTCCGGTGGGGTCGGGCCCGACCTCGTAGTGCTTTATCACCTACGACAAGAAGCAAGTAGAGGATTGCGATCATGCGCGACGCGTTAGCATTTCATTTTAGTGATTGTTGGTCGTCGTTTCCGCTCGGATTCTCCTACCCTGGACAAAAGGAGGTACATCTCGAGCTCGGCCACCCTGCGCCCTAAACAGGCCCGGATCCCGAAGCCGAACGGCACCGACCCGAACGGGTGCTGCTTGACCTTGTCGTCCCTGTCTCTGAGCCAGCGCTCCGGCTGGAAGGTGTGGGCGTCGGGGAAGATGCTCTCATCGTACGACACGGCGTAGTGGCACAGGTGGAACAGAGTCTGAGAGGGACAGGAAGCAGTTAGTTAAACTGGTTTCAAATGCATCTTTGATTTCAGGTGTCGCTTACTTCTGGTGCAACATGCGTCTCACCTTTTTCGGAAAGAGATAATCCCCGACTACGATCTCACTTTCAGCGGTGACACGGGCGTTTCCTGGCACCACTGGATAGAGCCTGGAGAACAGAGGATGCACCGAGGAGTCAGCACAGGCACCAACACAATGTTTCCAAAAATAATCTAATCAAATGAGACACTTTGGTTCAAAAATAATCAGCGCGTCCAGATGTAAAGTTGGTTCAGACCATGTGGAGCAGCTAAGTACACTAACATGTAGAGTTGCTATTCGCCTTTTCTTCTGAGAGAATCTCTATCAGTTTATCGGTTACGTTTTCTTCATGTTTCTGCTACACGTGACTCAAAAGCAGATATAATGTACATGCATGCACATGTACTCACAAATGGCTTCATGCGCCAGACACCTTGGTGTTTGACATACAACTAGAACCAAATGATTACTTCCGCTGTGCAAAAAGAGCCGACATTTTTTCCCCCCACTTTCTTGCATTAAACGAAGCTAAACTTTTCCCGTTTTACGACAGTTAACGTCATCAAAAGTGATTTCGATTTGCCAAACGGCGACCTGAGAGCGATCGTCCACAGACGTACGTCCATTCAGCTCATCTGCAGTGAATGAGCCAATTGGAGTTGTTCAGAACCGTATGAGACCATCGGCATGCGGACTGTCGCAGACTTCTTAAAGGCCGGGAAAGTGTCTGTAGACTTCTGTCGTTGAAGAAAGCAATATAAAAGACATCTAAACAATTTTCTTTCATTATTTAGTTTAGCCTGATTTAATGTCAGTGAGGAAAAAATGTTTTTTTTTTTCACTGTGTGTAGATATATGCTTTAATCCATTCATCCATCTATGCCTGCTTAATCACTGCTAACTCCAACGAGATTAAGGAAACACTCTAGACAGGACGCAAGTCCGTCACCAGACAACACAGATACACACAACCACTTACACACACTAATTAAAATGTAAAAAGTATTTTTAGAACAATTCTCTCTAACCGGAGCGTTTCCTTGATGATGGCCTTGAGGAACGGCATCTTGTTGATGTCGTCGCTGGTCGGCACCTTGTCTCCGGGGCAAACGCTGATCACCTCCTGGTACAACCGATCCTGGATCTCCGGCTCCTTCGCCAGGTGGTACAGTGACCAGGAGATGGTGTTGGACGTCTGCGAGGGAAAACAAACGTGCGGCGTTCGAGGAATGTCATCTCAATTCAAACACAACACCAGCACTGAGGACAGCGATCGTAACCCAGAGTTATCATGTTTTCCCTTTCAGCGCTGTGGTAAAAATACAGCTGGGAGAACAGATTCTTTGGTGAAGCTAAACAGATTTGAAATCTTGTTTCCTAAGAGACCACGCCTCATCTAAACGCTCACCGTGTCTACTCCGGCCAAAAGGAGCTCGGTGATGCTGCCCAGGATCTCCGTGACCGTCATCTGCTCGCTGAGCAGCAGGTGCGTCAGGTACGCTCCCTCCACGTTCTTGTCCAGGTCCACGCTCTGCTGGATCTCCTCGATTTTTTTATTCACCAACTTCTCAGCTAGGACACAGTGGAAGCACGCCGTTCATTTCTCCGGGAGACAGATGTGACATTTTGACCGCCAGATGGCGACCAAGAGACACTGTGGGGATTCTTGCTCCGGCTCTCATGATTTCTCGGTTATGGTCAGAGGAGCCTGGATGTTTGGACTTTGGCCCTTTAACAGAGTCGTAAGAGAGTTTTAGCCTTGAAATGGACTGACAGCGGAGCCCCAGAAATGGCCTTGGAGTCTGAACTCAACTTGTTTTTTCAATTTGTTCTCTTGCTGTGTCAACTGTTTTACTTATATAGCATTTTTATTTCACCGACGTTGGAAAGTATGTGCACTTTCTAACCACATTTTAGTTTAATTTTCAATTACAACCAGGATTCCTCTTGGAGAACTCCAGATTGTTTCTTTCTTCACACTGAAATGTACATACGATGATTTTAAAGAATATGTTCCTAAAGTTTTACCTCCCAAAAAGGAGGGAAGGATGGACAGAGGGATAAATGAGGGGAATTGAAAGACATGAGTGAATATGGAAAGAAGAGCTACAGAAAAACACACAAAGTAAAGAAGAAAGGCAGAAAAAGTACAAAGAAGAAGAAGGATGCTACGACAACGGGATGGTGAATGGAGAATGTACATCCATAAAACAATATCAATTCGCAATTTCATTTTTAAACACCAATCCAAACCTGGAAAATACTTTTGAATAAATATTTAGAAAGTTATTTTTCAAAATTGCATAGGAACCCTGTACCATCCAGTATAAATATCTGAAAACTCAGAAGCTTTGAGGTATTTTATCTGCATAGTTCACATATTTCCAACACTTTTCAAAGATGCGCTGCTAAGGTTTACATTTGTGTTTGTAGCATTTCAGATCATTTATTTATACTTTATATATCTGCGCACATGAATACTCACGTTTAAATCTATGCAGAAAAAGCAACAAATCCTTTCAGTTATTCTCTTTGAAAGTGTTTTGCATCTGTGGTTAAACACAAGAAAAACAGACTAAATATGTGAGAAAGGTGAGACTTTTAGCTGCTTCCGTTCACTGTCTCAATGTTTTTAGACAATATAAAGTGGGTATTCTGGTGGCACAGTTGCCCTGTTAGGTTTTTAAGTTACTTCTTGCAACCAACATTACATCCGATTTCCTCATTCTTAAACACCACATAGATCCTGTCTCATGAACTCTGCAACTTTAGGAAGGAAAGTCTCAATTTCTTTCCCATGTTTCACATATTTTTTGACTTCGGATGTGTAAGTGTATCACTGTCTAAACCTTAAAACTGAAAAGGAAAGAGAAAAGTTGCGGCTGCTGCTTACCAACATTAAAAAGATGATCCCAGGTGGCGACGAACTGTTTCCACGAAGGCAAGTAGGGCCAGAGGAACTTGGGGAAAAGGACAATGATAGGGGAGAGCCGAAACATTTCCCCGACTGAAAAGATGAACTTCTGCGTTTCCTCGGGTATGACCTCGTTCATGCAGCCCATACGGGTCTCAAACAAGACTGAGCAGATACCTGAGCACAAAAGACTGACAATTAGCCCAAAATATAACACTTTTTAAAGACATTAGAGAAAAACAAACAAAAAAACAACTACTGAACAAAATGTGGAAATAAGGTCCAGGGTTGCTGGAAACTAAAAGAATACCAGCACATTTCAAACTGCTTCCAAAGCCAAACCTAAGCATCTGTATGCAGAAAAAAAAACAATAAAAGCTTGACACTTTGCAAAGGTTTGGATGGTGGATCCAAATTTCAGCTGTCAGGTCGACAGTCTGCAGTCGTTTCGGATATTCTGGCTAAAATATTTGTAACAGGTAACCTGCATCTGTTTTGGCATACAAACTCCTTCTGAACATAAAACGGTCGGTTTCAACTCAGTTGGGAAACTGATTAGGCAAACAAGATAACATGTCTGCCAGAGCTGGATCTGAAAGGTGCTGGCAGGAGGTTCTGTTTTCTTTGGACAGGGCTGGTTGGTTCGATTTGTTGAGGTTTATTATGCCACGGCATGAACACGCCGTTATAGCTTCAGAAAAACAATAATATAAAAACATTCATTAAAACTTAACTAGTAGATTGATGGTACAGGTTTGTTTGTTTTTTTGCCTTGATCTTTCTTTCTGAAATATTTACTAGCTCTGAGGATTGAGCAGAGAAATCATCTGAAAATCCAGATTTCAAGTAAAGAGGGAGGAAAGAAAGTTCTGAACATGTCAACATGTTTCTAAGCATATGAATTCCTACTGGAGAGATCGACATAAAATCCAAACTTAATGTCTATATTTACTGACTATGAAGGTGGGAAACTCGTCACATGGATCCTGAAGGACCTCCATCTGCTCTTCTTTGCCTTTCTGGTTTTCAGTTCTTTGAATAGATTTGGAGTTCAGTTCAAGCCAGGTGACTGAACGGGTCGTTCTAGAAGCGGTTCACTACAGTTCTACTATCATCCAAACACTGGTGGGCAATGGGACCCAAAGAGGATTGTGTGAGGTATCTCGTCAGGCAATACTGTCTGTGTGTTTCATTCGCTTGTTGGATTGTTCAGCACCAGCTTTCATCAAGCTTCTTCTTCAGCAGTGGAGTCTTGTGCAGTGAGTGTGAACAGAGGCAACTGGAAATGGGTGCATCAGTTATTGTTTCTATGGGAGAAAAGAACATTTACAGCTAACTCCAATATTTTTTTTTGAAAGCTCTCAGAATAAAATTGCCATCAACTCTTAACTTCTCTCGTCTCTCTTCTGACTCCACTGTGAGGAGTAGCTGGTCGTGGTTGGCCTTGGGTGAATCTACTATTCATGAAAGCTGAATTCAACAGCTGCGCCAAAAGGCTGTTTTAGTAGCTAAAGAAGACTATTGTAATCATCTTTAATTCTGAAAAGTTCAAATTTTTGGAAGCATATAACTTGATTGCTCTGTCTGCAAAATCCAGACCGAGCAATCGCTTCAAAATACCCCGGACTCTGAAGGGCTGGCCTTCCTTGATTACACAAAGTAAACAATGAAAGTTCAGGGCACAGTGCTAATCCTTTATAGGCCTCAAAGATATGACTAAGCATTGAAATAAATAAGTAGAATAACAACGTAATTGAGTTGAATCTGACAAAGAAAAATCGAAAGGCGAAGAAACAGTCAAGAAAAATGCAGTAGTGGCTTAACCAACATCACAAAGGAAGAAACGTAAGCTTTTCTATTGGACCAATCGTGTAAGACAACTGAAAATGGGAGCTACACATGGTAAAGATATACTTTAATCAGTTTCCTCCCAACCTGAAGGAAACTGTAGTCAGTAACAACGATGTAAAAAAATAAGCCCAACTGTGTCAGCTTTCGAATGTTTTTGGAATCCACATTATGGATTCGGGAGATTTTATTGAAATCCTGAGCAAATCTGAACTACTCTGAAATATTAGTCAGCTGCTTCCTAGTGTGACTTATCGCAGTGCAACAATCCAACACACAAGCTTATTCTCGGTATCTAATCAGTTCTGAAGGCCAGAGGGTCAGAAACTGGGTCAAGGATAAAACGTTGTGAGTGACAAGCACTCGCTCATCAGCAAACTGTCGCTACACAGGTGATGCTCTGATCCACACCTGAGTAGAGCTGTGTAGCAAAAGGGACAAGTAAAGCCGGTCCGACAGGATCTAGCATTACACGTCTGACAATTTACATAAAATATGTTAAGAAGCTGAGGGCGGCAATAGCATGTGTTTTGTTCATTTCGTAAATTCTCTGACGGATTCTCTGAAGGATAGATAAGTGTTTTTTGGGGAGGGGATTTTAAGCAGGGAAACACACAACGGGATATTTTCTCTATTTTACCCAAAAATCGGAAGCCTGTCCATCATTTTCAGCTTCGCGCACACAGCACATCGCAGAGGTGACTAAATCAAAAACAAAATTCCCATATGGGTATCATCTCCGACACGGACACTGAACTGAATGCGTCTCACTGGCCGGAAGCTGACGACATGCGGAAGAGTCACGCACGGTTCCAAAACACACTCAAAACTTTGGCTGAACGGACGCATTTGTAAGCCGACAGCAAAAACAAGAGCAGAGAACTACTGGGAACATTGGGTGGTGTTCATCGAAAAGATGAGTAAGCAGTTTACCTTGTGTTGGAGAGAAAGAAAGGGAGGCGTAGAAAGTTAATGAGACCGTAACAAGCGCAGCGCGCTGCATGCAGCTCCACCCTGACCTGACCACACATCCCAGGTGATTTGCACCTGACTCACCCTGTTGCGACAACAAGCGACGAAGTGGAGCTGGAAGATGTTAAGCCAAAGCTAAAAACAAGAAAAGTTACACTGACTTCTTGAAAAAACATGAAAGCAGTAAAATGTTAAATCAAATAATATGTTAAGTGGAGTTGTTTAATTTAATTTAAACAACTCCAGGTATGGGGGCCACAGTCAGCAGTTTTTGTCATTGCGGAGAAAAAGCCAGATGTGTTCTTCTGTTCGATGTGTGATGGGTTCTGGATTCTTTGTTCAACTTGTTGAATGTTAATTAAACGGCATAAAAACGGTTACATTTAATATCGTTTAAAAATTGAGGATTAATAGAATGTCATTATATTCTATTATGACACGTGAAATGCAGAATTTTCACATCGGTCCATCCCTGATTTTAAGAAAGAGTGCAACAGGAAAGAGCAAAAAGATTGACACTATTAGAATCTGAAGAGATATTTTCAGCACTACGTAAATGAAGTCAGCTTGTTCCTTCTCAGCTCACCTTCAAATGCAAATTTGTACAGTTCTTCGGTCAGGTCGTTAACCATGACGCCCTGTCCTTTGGTTTCCCTCAGCCAGGCCACTCGACTGATGAAGTCCGTCACCACTTCGTTGATGGTGTTGGAGTACGACGACACGTGCTTCGGCTTCAGCATCCGCGGGTTCAGGATGCTGCGGATTCGCAGCCACTTGGCTCCCATCCTGCAAACCGGGATTAGCAAAATCAAAGATCGCCTTTTTAGAGAGCTAAAAAAAAAATGTAAATCCCAAAACACTGGAACATGACTTATGACAACAAGTTGTTATTTTTTTTGTTAAATTCTATGTTTGCACCTTACACTCAAAAGCTCCTGTCTTGGGTTTCACGTTATCTAAGCAATAGTCTGTAATGCGATATTTTCACGGGAGATAAAATGAATTTTAAACACTATTTGTTTCACACGATGACAGTCATTTTGACAGTAGGTTATGGAAACAGGGGGTAATTACCTCATTGTGAAAAATAAATGTTGCAGGTAGAGAACATGTAAAGCAGTCATAAAATGATGTTGCCTTTGAGACAGGAAAGCTCCTCGGGTATCTGATTTCTTAATAGTATTCTGAGACAGAAAGCTGGCTCAACTCCCGCTGTGGAATCTGTTGCTTGAAGGATACGGGACTCGGCAGGTTTGTGAGAAATAGCAGACTGGAAATTGTGCACTTGCCAGACGTAAGAAAAAAAGAAAAATGGAGTTGCCTATATGAGTCTCCAGGATAAGAATGAGCTGCATGCCCACACTCAGTCCTGGCACCGAGTATGAAACTGAATATGGGAATCGGCCGTGCTGCACATCAAGGAAACCGGAAAACAGAACCGAGCTGGAAAAGGCCGATCTCTTCAATCGGAGATTCCAAACCCAAAGATTTTACGAATCACAAAATGAGCTTAAAAGAAATCCCTCAATAGAGTAGAGCAGCTATGAGAACAGTTCACTTCTGGAGCAAAAACACACTTTGTTGTAAGACTGAGTTATAGAAGCGGCTCGTTATTTTCCAAAAGCGCTCTCGTAGCGGCAAGCGCAACTTTTCATGGTTCACCTTTAAATATAAAATACAAAAGCAGGCAGACTTTGAATATGTAATCCGCCAAAGCGAGACACTGGGAAGGAAGGCAGGAAACGGGGCCAAAAGAAGGCAAAAAAAATGGAGGATGTTTTTTTCATGCCTTCTGCTAACATTGAAATAAGGTAAACCAAATTCCATACTATCTCAGACTCTTAACGCTGAACAGTTCGTCGTCCTGTTTTGCAGAGTACTGTCAGTCACCGACCCAAATCAAACACGTTGAAGCTGGGAACCATCAAGACAACGAAACTGGGTTTCCCATCAGCTGTTCACAGGAATACGCAGCGCCTTCTACAGCTTTTTCTAAAAACCTTATCTCCAAATTGAGTTGAGTGAGGTAAATTGCTAAGCTAACAAGGAGCCACTCAGCAGTCTCCTAACACATCTAACAAAGCCAGAGCGTAAACCTGCACAACCTCTCCAGACGAGGGATGAGCAACTAAAATCCCAATAGGTCCAGTTACTGAGATTTCTTTCACAACAAGGTCCAAATCGCACGTCTATTTCATCCCGCGGATACATTTCCCTAACCCTAACCCTACCATAGTGGGTTAGGGTTAAATATGGCTAACCGTGTGAACTTGAGGCCTTCATTACAAATATTCTTCATCATAATATCGACATCAAAAGAGCTTCTTTCTGACAGAGTGGAAAGCAAAATCTGGATTTTCCTGAGGCAGTTAACAGACGAGGAATTTGAGGCCAACTTTTCAAGAAACGGATGATTCGCTTCTTTTTTTGTCATCGCCTCAATAGCCTCACAAATGTCCTCACTGTTATAATATTGCTGATTTTCTGATCGCATTTGTAGCTGGGATAGAGATGTGTTTGATTCTGTGACACGGTTTGTCTTTTTGTTTCACTTCAAGCACCAACCAGTCCTCACGTCACTCAATGTGTTTCTTTTTTGTTTGGTTTTTTTATGCTGCCCTAAAATCCATGCAATCTGCAGAGAACGCTGGCGTGAGCGCTACTGTACGGTGAAAGAGTGTGCGAGTGTGGGTGGATTTGTGGCACCGGGCTCCTACCGCACTCGTTTTTTAAGTTTGTTCATAGAACTTGTGTTTGGTTTCATATAATAACCCTCAGTTTTATCAACACAACGTTTCCGACTGGCAGCTTTCACGCTGCCAGTCGGAAAGCCTCTTTTAAAAATGTCTGTTTCTGATGAGTTTTTTTTTTTCACCTTGGACCGCGCCGCGTCTGCACCTCTCTACTTTGGGTGCAGTAAGGTACACATTTAATTGGCTTTTTTTTTCTTTTTCTTTAAGTACGTCGTAAAACAAGGTGGTTACTGGAATGACTGGTTTCACCACAATTTTCCGTTGTACTAATAAAACACGGCTCTGGGTTTATGCTTTTTGGGGATTTTTTTTTTTTTTCTGGCACTGATTATTACCAGTCCAGACAGAACCAGCTTTTGTCCCGGTCCGCCTCCTCCGTGGCTGAACCTGCAGGTTATCGGCAGGATGAAAGTCTGGGCAACTGAGAATGTCGATTTCTACACCGATTTCCAAACATATTTTGGATCAAAACAATCCTCCCGTGGCTTTTGGAGGAGAATCAGTCCCTCAGCATCACGTATCCTCCGATGTTTCAAAGCTCAAGTTTGGTCTCGTCTCAGTTTAATTCCCAGACTTTTTTTTTTTTTTTTGCAAAAGCAAGCGTGTCTGCTTGGCATGTAGAGCAGATGACACTTAATAAATGGATAATTGGTGAGAACATGATGCACAGCTCTGCACCATGTTCTCGGTAAGGCTTGAGGAATAATTACCTCCCTCCTCCTTCGCCATCCTTCTCTCTGTGCACAGCGGCTGTATAGACTCGGCTTCCTGTCCAGTTTTATTTGATACAGTCACCGTCTGTTTTAAGCGTTTTAATTACTGCCTTGAAGAGGAGAAGCCGCAGGAATGTGGTTCTGTACTTGTTGAAGATCCACACATGTGGCATCCTTGAACGGAACGCCTCCTCGGTTTTGTTTTGGTTCATATTTTTGAATGGGAACAATTTTCGGTAAGACATTCTTGCAAAGTTAGACATAATCTTGCTATTTTAGAAGACAAAGTGTGTTCACAATATGAGCAAAGACAGAAAAAAGTTGGATTGAGCTTTGTTGTTTTTAAAGCCAAAATTTTAAATATTGGAGTAATTCTCTTTTGTCAGTGGACTCCTAATTTGATTAATATGGCTTAGTGAGTATTAAACATTGCTTTGGCTTGTCTGCTTTGCTCTTTACAAAAACAACAAACAAACAAAAAAAACATATTTTGATTTGTTTTATAAAAAGAGTGATTTCATGCGCCTGTTACTCCATTCAAGTTAATTGTACGGCCCTTTTAAAATGTTTTTCCGTTCTTGAACGTTTCACTCTTTCATTGCAATCTTGATCAACAAAACTACGGCTTTTACCAAAAGAATAAAACTCTTTCAAAGTCAAAGTGAAAACGGATTTCTTCCACGAGAACATATTCAATCCTGATTGATCTGTAAAAGGAATAAAACAGCGAGGACTCTGTGGTGGCGTTGAAGAGTTTGGCTCTTGGGCTGAGGGTGGGGGGTGTTGGACTCACTCCGTTAGGGGTCCGTGGGCCTTGTTCCTGAGCTCCCTGTAGCCCCTCCAGTGGTGCATGTCGGTCCGGATGGGGTGCCTGCCCTCCTGCCTCAGAACCTGCTCTATGAGGTCAGCACTGGCCACGTTCACCACAACCATAGGGCCGTACTTAGACTTCCACAAACTGCCGTAGATCTTTTTGTGCTCGATCTGGGGGGCAAATAAAAGGAGTCAGAAGACATTTTTTTATCAGGTCGTGAATGTTGAGCGGGAGTTTTAAAAAGCGGAAGGATTCTGGGAAATAACTTGTGGAACAAATTAGCGCAGGCAAACCAACTTGGGATAAAAAATAAAATGAAATAAAAAAACAAGTGGTATTTCTGTCAAGACCCTCCTGGTTTCTTAAATTAGGATGCATAGGAAATGGGCTGTAGATGTTGGCAGAGAGGGTGAGTCAGAAACACATTTCATATTCAGAAAATATGCTTGAGTAACAGAAAACCACAGATTCACATCTGTTCCTCTTTACACTATTGTACTTGTTTCTGAGCCGTGTTACCAGTGCGACTCTTTTCTCAAAAGGGAAATAATACATTATGAGGAAGTAAAATCTGCAAACCATATAAAGACATAAAAAGCAGGCAGTGATGCCAACAGTCGAAGGTGCTTTCAGCTGACATGATGTCAGAGGTCAAGGTAGAGCCTAACTGCAAAGCTCTAGAGAGGAGGAGAGCAGTTCAGATGAAATACAAAGGAGCCTTCAGTTTCCCAGAAACACTGAAGCCAGTTTCCGATGTGATATTTAACTAATGATTTATTTCTCCAACGTCACTGAATCTGTTCAAACTTGAACCAGGCTTGAACCAAGGCTCTTTTTTTTTAAACCATCTTTACCTTCTAGTTTTAATGCAATTGAAGTTTCGGGAAAGAATCTGAAAATTCATGTTGCATCTGTCTGATGTAGTTGAAAAGATGGACCCCACTGACGATGAGAAAGAAGTAAATAAACAAATAAAAGTCTTTAAATTTGGGCAGCACCAATCAGTCAGTCTTCTTCTGATCCGATTAGTTGATCAAATGCAATTTAAAACAAAAATTCTTCTTTCCTTGTATAAAATTCAACAGAACTCCCAACTATTTTTGCTTCTAGCACTTTTTAAAATGTTTTTTAATAACTCACTGCTTTGAAATGCATTTAATCGGGATAATCCTACGATGTATTTGAAAAGTTTTCAAGCCTATTGTAAAGATGTCACTAATTGTCTTATTCTCATTAGAATAAACCGAATAAACTTCATCAGAAGCAAAAAAAAAAAAGGCCCTAAAAATTACTATATTTTAATTTCAATTATTATTGTAATTTGCAGGAAGAATAAAAGCTATGAAGGTTTCACATGTCCTCTAGATTCTGTTTTAGCAGAATCTAGTAGTCAGGACTTTGTCCGAGTGTCGAATCGCAGACCAACTTCAGCGTCGCATTTCCAACTTGCCTGCATTTGCTGCGTTGTCTGAAAATATCCCTTGATAAAGAGCCAGTACAACGTAGTGGCGAAGCCCGGTCCGCCTAACTCATCCATGGTTTTCAGCTTGCTGCCGCCCACCACGGTGTCGCTGCTGCTGCTGCTGCTGGTGGTGGAGGTCTGTCGGCGGTGGACGCCCGGACTCAGCGCCGCCGCACCTCCGCACATCCCGCCGTGCCGGCAGCGGCTCAGCAGCAGACAGATGTTCACCAGAGGTTTCCTCAACATTTTCCAGCGCCAAGTTATCCGCGGCAGCGAGGAGCAGACCACCACTCCAGCGTTTCAGTCCGCCGCCTGTGTGTTTCTCTGTGTGTGTGTGTGTGTGTGTGGGTGTGTGTGGGTGTGTGCCAAGGCGGCCGTAAATAATGGCTCCTTGTTTGTGTACCCCCCCACCCGTCCCAGTCAACACTGTGGACTTTGGTTTTGTCTCTGCTAGTTTGCCCACCACAGCAGAGAGGTATTTGTACCTGACACACCTAATTATCCGACTAATCTAAATCCAGTTTAGTAGAGATGCAACAGGTTCACAAAAATACCCATTTTGCTTGTTTTTGTTCTCGTTCAGTAAGACCCCAACGGTTTGGGGTCTTACTTCCGGCGCCCACCGGAAGTAGCAGTAGTTAATCGTTATTTTTAGGGTTATTTAGCTAATCTATATTCATGATAGAAATTATATCTCTCTTTTCTGTGATAATACAATATTTAGTAAAGCTTGTCTACGGACACACCGTTATCGTAATTCAGAGTTTAATCGCCGGGAGCGACAGGAACCGTTAAGTTTCGGAATGACCGTTAATTAGCATCGCTGCTAGCAGCAGCCCTTAGCTCTCTGAAGAGCTAACGGCAATGAAGAGAAAAACAGAGAAGCTGGTCAGTCTGAGCTGCGGGTTTGCACCGACGGTACAAAACACCAGAACTACATAATATTTATTGGCTTGGTGTGAAGTGAATTTCACTTTTCGTTTGAATTTAAAAAATAATAAAGTTCATGATCTGAGTCAGCAAAATTTATTTATAAGACAAAATATCTGGGATTATTTAGTTCATCACAACCAGAACCAGGATCGCGGTACTATGAGAGATGACAAAATAACCCACTCATAGGCTTCAAACGGTTTTTGAGTCTGTCTGTCTCCCTCTGTGTCTCACTCACAGCTGGCAGACATGTTTCATTACCATAGCGACGGAACACAGGGCAGAGCAGCTGCTTAGGACCACAAAACACACAATGGCGGAACACTCAGTTACAACAGAGGGCTGACCTGCCATTTAGAGCTACTTGCTGTTTTGGCCAGTATACAGCTGACTGCTCTTTAGAACTACAATGACATGGCGGAACTGTCAGATACTACTGAGATGGCCTTTAGAACTGCTTGTGTTTTGGGAGTTTTATAACTGATTTTACCCAACCACTGTTACACATGGGATGAGTTTGGCCTTTTAAAATGAAGCTTCCTGGAAAATTCCAAATCAAAGCCTTGATCATTTTTTACATCAGGTAATTGCTCTTTTGAGCATCAGTTAACTGATTTGACCCAATTATGTTACACATGGGATTATATTTGTCCCTTTCAAATGAAGCTTCCTGAAAATTTCAACATAAAAGCCTCGATGTTTTTTACATAAGGTAAATGTTACTTAAGGGCCACTGTCCTGCAGTTTTTTTATTACCTCCTCCTTGTGTAGATAAGTTATCCAGAGCCTTGCTAATGACCTAATTATTCTATTCAGGTGTGGTGCAGCAGAGGCACATCTAAAAGTTGCTGGACTCTGGCCCTCAATGACTGGATGTTGACACCCCTGGGTTAGTGCACCGCCATAGACTGTGCAATAGTAATAGCCTGCTTTCTCTTTTTCTCTCGGGTTAGAGCACTGCCTTTTGCAGCAAGGCAGAGCATTAGCATTAGCCCTTTACCTTAAATAAGCTATTAGCAATTTTTCTTTCTTATTAGCCATGTTTTGTATTCTGAATGTACTACGTCAATTACAGACAACATGCCAGTGATGTCCACATGCTGCAGTATTCATGCTAAGATTAGCATTTTGGCTAATTTTATCAAATTCATTAATTTTATCCTACTGAATGGTGCACATCCAGGTTAGTTAACATTCTTGTGGTTCTCCACATGCTACTGATTACATTGCAGCTTTCTTTAGCATTGATACTAATTTTTAGCATCAGAACGCTGGGTCCAAACTGACGGGCACACTTTGGCGAACCTTGGTTAAATTTCTTCTGAAATTTTCTAGTTTATTAAGTTATCATTGTAACTTTTTGCCACAATAAACTACGTTTTTTGACCGAATGGCATCACAATGTGTTTTTTTTTTCAACAAATGAAAACAAAAGATTTAAAAAAATTTAACGTTCAATTTTTAAATTGTTCAATGAAGTTTGTTATAAATTTTGTACTTATTTTTGACAGTTGTGCTACTGGATTCTTTTTCATATGGCACATTTTAGAAAATAACTTCTGTGTTTTTATCTAATCTTAGTTTTCACTCTATGCATAGCCACACAACACAGTACATAAACAGGTTACAATATGCACCTTACTTATGAACACAATTATTGAAACCTTATATATGAATACCATAAATGCACATAACATGCACCTTACATAAACACAAAAATATTTTCAGCACTAATGGAACTCCATACATTTCTCTTTCATTTTTTCAAGAAAAATGGTGAGTAAATTTATCAGTTCACCTGCAATAGCCACATATAATGTTCAGCATAGTTTGTGTGGTGAAGCACAGCGAAGGGCTTTTATATTATAAAATGAGTCCATCAGAGTTTCCTGGCATGGTAATTTGTCCACTGCTACCTGTGGGATGTGTTAGAAAACATTTACTCTGTCATGAGGTAGATTTCATCACTGCTGCTTCACACATTTGTTTTTGACCTCTCTCATGTTGAAGCCTTGCACACCTGCATGGACACAGTGTGAACTATACTCCACACTGGTTTCCCTGTTCACAAACCAAACAGGGCAGTAGCTAGGAGACGCTACAAGTGTCACGCTCCACCAGTGTTTGTGTTTTGGTTTGTTCATTAGGTTTGTTTTTCTTGGTTTGTTGTTCCTGTTGAGTTCAGCTCTCCTACTCGATCCCCATTTTAAAGGTTTGGGATGGAGCTGTGGTGTGAGTTGATTAAAGTTAAGAATATAGCAGGATTGGGTAAGATTAGGCTAAGTGTTGGTGTTAGGCTCAAATGACTAAAATAAGTGGATGTCAACACAAAACCCTAATATTACTAGAACCACAAACTCGTGAGAGCGCGTCGTTTCATTTGGTTCATGTTCACTTTTTTGTGTGTCATGAGATTGTTATGACATAAAAGCATGGCACATAGTTGAGAAAGTTACACTTGAACTTTGATACAGTCATTGAATAAATCCTATGGAAGCACAGATCTGTAGATATTTATCTGATTCCTCTAAATATAAGAAATATGAGCTGTTAGGACTGGTTCAAAATGTGCGTTAATTTAATGCAAAATTAATCTTTGCATAGTCAAATCTTTTTCTTTTTACTATTTTGTGAGGAGCTTGAGATTTGAATGCCACAGAAGAGGAATAATTAAAGAAAATACTTCTTTTTAATACCATGCTGGTCTCCTTCTATAGATATGCTACTGAAATATAGGATCACAGCCTGCAACTTGAAACCTCCACAGGTTTGAACATGTAGAGGATTTCACAATAAATGTAGCGGAACATTCCACATGCCTAGATTGTGTCAAAAAGTGAGACAGAGATCAGCAGCTGCCAGAGTTTTATTCCTGGAGTCACACCTCGTTATGCAAAAACATTTAACCGACTTGCACGCCGGTGATGAGTGTGTGCTACACAGTTGTCAGTTCCAACTTTCCTGTCATAACAGTACATCCACATGTTAACGTTTTCTATATTCTTTAATTTAATGGGTGCTGGTTATATTGTAAGTATGGGTTGAGAAAGTGAGAATATGGCTGCTGGCATCCAACTAGATATTTTTTCTGAACTTAGTGCATTAGCAAGGCAGATGAGAGGTATGAGAGCGCTGCAGAAAAGTCATAATCAAAATGAAATTTGCAAGAAGCCTCGAACGGCCCTCGCAGCTCAGCAATGCTCAGGCCTATTAGCCACCAGACGCTCTCGCTCAGTTCCCTCACCCATCCGCCAGGCGCTACGCATTGTTGCGTTCCCTGAAAACACTGATAACGGGACGTGGAAAGTCTGATGCAGCTGTGATCTTGCCTGTGAAAGTTATTTCACCTTGATGTTTCATGGGGAATAGGCGAACTTTGACCTCAGGCAAGTCTCCTTCAGCATGCACGAAAACTCTAAATTTTGATAACTTTTAATCGGCCATGTCATATGAGCAAACTGTGGCCACCCCTACAGTTTTTTTTAGGTTTTTGAAAAGTTGAAGACAAGTAAACTTGTTTGAACGGTAAGCCGAGTTATCTGTAGATTCCAGAAAAGATGCAAGCACTCAAACCAGCTTCCAATTTTCTTTGGTATTTTTCCATTTACTAATTTTCAAAATCTAAATCATGCCAAATGAGAACGTATTCTACTCTAAATGCAAATTTTCTTAAAGCAGTTCTTGAAGATTATTTCCTTAAATTGATTTAAGATTCTAAATTGTTTCAGTACCACGGGCTACACTTTAAAAAAAATAAATGTAAAATAAAATAAAATTTAAAAGTGTTTTTTGATGTCGAAATTGGTTTGCAATCATTCAGGAGGTCAAAAACCAAATAACTAATGTGCAAAATAAGGAATGCATATCAGAAACAATTAAAATCTTTAATATTGATAAAGATCTTTATGCTACATATACATTTCCCTTTTCCATTTCAAGACATCTGCTTCAACCTCTCAACTGTGTTCAGATGGTTTCGATGCCAAAGACTTCTCAGATTCCTGTTTGCCGAGACAACTTAGCCGTGACAGAGGATTTTTTTGGAAAAAAAAAGTAAAAAAAAAAAAAAAAAAAAAGGCAGGAAGTCCTGAAGAACTTCCCAAGGAAATAAAGCACATTAAGCTCTTTAAGACACTCAGGGGAAGAATAAACCTCTGTCTCTGCAGTAGAGCTTGAAACTTACACTTCCAATTTCTTGGGTAAGAAATTAAATATAAAATAAACTAATTTCTGGTCAAAAAGAATAAGAAAAAAACAAAATTAAGATAAATAACTAGATTCAAGTATTGCAGGTTTAAAGCAACAAAGCCGCTTAAGTCCACTGAGTGATAATGCAGTAACAATTAACTGGATATAAACACTCTCAGCCGCATCGCTTTAAGGCAGTAGCAAAGTACAATGTCTGAAGATAAAAAACAAACAAACAAAAAAAAAAATCAGATATAGTCATGCCGCACAAATAGATGGTAAAGCATAAGGCACAACAGTGATAGGTAATATTGTTGGGCTGAAATGCAAAAGTCTAGCTGGTGGTTTTAAGATGACACCACACCGGTCTTTGTTTCACAAACGCTTCTCAAATTATCCCCCTTCTGTTTCCTTGATCAGTTTAACCTGCGGGTTAAGGCATCGAGTGAAATATATACCAAAATATATATATATATATATATATTTTATTTATTTTTTTTATATTTATTTTTTTTATTTATATATATATATATATATATATATTAAAAGTTGATTTCCAGCACCAGTCATGGTGAAAAAATGCATCACACAAACTTTCACATGAGCAGAGTGAGATGAAATGTTATGTTTGTTGGCAGAGAAGCAGCATGTCTAACAGAACAGTGGATGTGTAAATAACAGTCACACTTCACAGGAGGCACAAAAATAGGTTGGACTCCATTTTCAGTCGCTCTCACTGCCTGATTCACTGAGCTGGAGGTCGTTCTCTGGAGAGAGAAAACAAAAACATACAGGTTAATTTTCCTGCGAGAACTACCAATCCCAGGATGCAGTGCTTTGCTGCTTGACAGAACCTGTCAGTGGGAGTTTATAACCCAGCTGCATGTCAGACCCATTTTCTTACCTGAGGTTTAATTCACACAACAATTTGTCAACAAGCTCGTAAACTTCACTTCACAGCAATGAAGCTGGAGCAATCAATTCCAAACTTGAAATATAACTCTGCACACGTTGCGCAATTTTAATGTTTCATCATTGACGAGTAGTTCTGCAGATCAAAGCACTGCTAAAATGTAACCACAGTGTTCCTGGCAGCTCTTTGGTACAATTTGTTCTTATACAGTGAAATATTTAGCCATTCGCCCCCATCCTGCGTTTACTGCCAAAATAATGACAATAATGCATATCTTTATATGACTGAAACTAGAACTTTATTCAAAGATAACTCGCTTCCATTACAAAAAAAAATAAAAAAGGTTCACATTTGCTATAATTGTTGCTTTTCTTCTGGCTGCATGACCACACACAGCCATTCCCTGCAGCTGCTCACCTGACCAAACAAAAAGCGGCAGCTGGAAGTTTTAAGCTCTGTTAACATCCTGAGTATATCGAGGAAAAAACTGGGAGACACTTTTTAACCAACGAGGCAAATAACAGCGCTAAGCTGGAGGAACTGGGGAAAAAAACCGCAATGTTCCTTTCTACAACAGTTTGAATAAAAGCAGGACGATGTTTAGCTGGCGGCTCAGTGAGGCACTAAAGCACACGAGTGGTTAATGTGGCAAATAGAGAAAAGGTTTATGATGGAGCCCAACTGAAGTAGGGTTGAGACAATTCATCGGATTAATAGATTATTGAAATAATCCTCAACTATTTTAGTAATTGATTAATCATTAACTGGAGCATAGATTGAAAAATGGCCATTTGGAGAAAGAACAGTCAGAGCAGAAATAAGGCCAAAACTGTATAGAAAAAAATATATATACTGAACTTCTGATAAAAAAAACTAAGCGACTTTGTCTGCCTTTTCAATCTTGAATCTTCCAACTTTGCCTATGCCATCCAACTTTTGATTGGTTAATCAAAAACATCACTGTATGTCAAGCAGAAAGCTCTGAGCTTCTGACATGTTGATGTTTTAAGTATTTTATTAGCTAGATGCATCCTTTGCTACAAATGATCAGTGACTGTTATTGCACTGTAAGCAATACAGCAAACAACAAAAACACAACTGAGATCAATTTCAGAAGTGGTCTGCGAGACTTACTGAGCGTGTTCATAATGAGTCCTCCTCCGCTCTCTTGGTGAAGGCTTGTCACGTGATTGGTGCCGGTACTTATCAGAGGCATGCTCTGGTTGGTCGGGGCGGGAGGGAGCGGCGGCGCAGTGTTACGCTCGTCGTCCGAGTCGCTGCTGCTGGAGCTGTCTTCGCTGCTCGAAGACGACGAGCTGTTGGAGTCCGAGGAGCTGTCGCTGCTGCTCATCTGATCCATGACGCGCGCTTCCGCCATCAGTTCTGCAGAAACGCGACGCAAGTTAAAGAGGGAAAAAAAAAATCCAGGAGGCTTGGCAACATTCTCCTGTGCATGTTGACTTTTTACTGAATTAGTTTGGCACGCCACCTCTTTCAATGTCATCCATTGGAGACGCTGGAGACGTTTTCTCCTTGGGAGGAGAGCTCTTGGAGCTGGTTGAGGTCTTATTGTTGCCGTTTCCCTTCATCTGCTGGCTCAGACGGCTTGTTTGCTGCTCTAGCCGAGAGTGAATTTTACTGCTGCCTTCAGCTCTGGAAAGCCAGGTGAAGAAAGAGAAAAATTGCCCCCTTTTCACATATGTTCAACCATAAAAACCGCAATTCTAGAAAGACTCTGGCCAGCAGAACGACTCTGGTTGTTAAACATGCACACAGCTATTTTAGCTCACCTTGTTTTCTTGACAGCTATGTTGCTGTTGAGTTTTTCGAGCCTGTACTCTCCTGTGTCATGGTTCACGATAAGGATGCACTCCTTCATGTACGGTCTCTTGGATCCCTTGAACACTGTGACTGGAGCACTCGAACCCTTGCAGGTCAAGAGGGAAGTAAATAAATCAGCAAATAATAAAAGAATAACTCCAATAAATTGTTTTCAGCTAGTTAAGTAACGTACTTCTACTAATTATAACATTTTAGAATATTTTCTTTTTCCTATTTTGAAGTCAAACTCATATTTTGTCATTTCTAACCTCTAAATTCGGTAAAGTAATAGTGACTTGCTCTCCTTTGCCCACTTCAAGCTCTCCTTCACATGCTGTATCAATAGAAGCTGGTTTGAAATCATCTGTGGAGGGAAAAGAGAATATTTAGTTGAACAATTGTAACAGGAAGACATTTATAGCGACGGTTAGTTTGAAGTTTGTTTAAAACAAGAGCGACCACAAATTGTGTAGTGGAAAGCCTCTACCACAAGGTGGTGGTGGAGTACATTCTGAGGCAGCGCTAACATTAGCTTCCATTTCGACAGCGAGAAACAATAGTAGTGTTTAACAGCTAAAAGCTAAATGACACATAAGTCTGAAACGGTTATCATTTTTCAAAAAGACCGGGGAAGCCGTTCGACTGCAACAAATCACCAGGAAGGCTGTTCTAGCAGCCGTCCAGACCAAGAACAAACTCCGGATGTGTAGCTTACAGGCTAACTAGCGTGCTGCTTGCTAGCCAAAGTAAACGGCAGACGTCACCTACTGAGTCGAAACGCCACTTACATCGGACCGTGTGGTAGGCACTTTTAGGGTGTTTCTCAAACGTCTCTCCTAGTTTCAAAACATGTTCCTGGTTGTCAAAGTTGGAATAAGCGGTCCCATTCATTCTGTGACTTTCATTGGCAGAGAACTTTAGTTTCCTCTGGGCTTTTTTATGCGATAACCAGGTACGGCTGGAGACACCGTTACGTCCCGCCTCTTTTGATAGCTACTTCATTATGATTGGTTAGAGCGGTTTTTTTTATGTTTTTGTCATTGGTTAAACACCTGTCATTGAAAATGTGACGTTTCAATTCAACCTGTCATCATGTTTTCGTGCCCAATCTTTATATTAAGACAAGTGGAACATTCAGGCAAACAAAGTTGCCTGAATTTATAAATATTTTCAGAGTTATTAAAAAGACTAGAAGATATAAGTAGTGATTAAATTAAGAAAGTGTTCCTAGATATGGTCATTTTTGTTTCTCAGAAAATTACCACGTTTCAGTTTTTACCAAAAACAAACAAAACAAAGCCGAAAAAACCAACAACAACAACATACAAAACAAAACATTGATACGTTTATTGTTAATGGTTGCTGAACATGTGTCTTGACATCTCTCAATACCTAAGTGAGTGTCTGCAAATGTCAACAATTGCTAAGATGTATTTTTTTTAAAGACTGAATGCTATGTCCATGCTGTTTATTGAACAGTACAAAATAGAAGCTGAATAAGACAGCAGAAATCTCTTTTAATCTCTTTATATGTACTGGTACACAGTACAGGTCTAGCCCTGTATAGAAATGGAATCACCTTCCTTGTTATAACATGAAGAAATTGCGGTAAAGTATATTTTTGTTTTAGTTTCACAGGCCACAGATCAGCTTGATTGCTGTCAGACCTGCAGGATGAAGAAATCATTCAAGTATAACCATAACCCTTGGGGGAGTGGGGAGTGGAAACCCCAGTTTCAAAACTAAGTGCATAGCCTGACTTGACTGATCAGCTCAGATTCATTGTGCGTCTCCTGGAGGCCTTCAACTAAAGAGCCACCAGAGCTATAACCCTCTGATTGCATTTGCAAGTGTTGCCATCTTCGGGGGCTTAAAGCTTCATGAACCTTGAGGCAGTAAAGATAATGTATTTTCCTTGCTTTAAAGTGTTAATGCATCCTAAGCCTTAAATCCTGCTTTGCCTGAAATTTGTTGAGGCCATATGCGTTGCTGCCTACAAACATTAAAGGATCAGCATCCAGGGCAACTGGAATGTGAAGATTACATGAACAGATTATCGCCAACTGGTTCACCGTCTTCTTCCTGTTTAGCACGACTCATCGAGGTGGACGTAAGCGGAAGATATTAGGTGGGAAGAGAAGTCGTGACGACAGCTGAAAAGTGATTTTGAACACACGACATAAAACGCGCACCTTGGAAGGAGTGCAAACCCATGTGGACTCAGAAGAGGAAGAAGATAAATTGTGGCAATCTTCATGACTTTCATTCGTTTCTCCTTTCCTGATCAAAACCCTTTAAAGATTACAGAGCTTTGAAAATTGACCGGGGAGGTTAACAATAGGCCCGGAATCCTGTTTCACTGTGTCTGAATCCCACGTGAAAGGACGTCAGCGCGGGTCCGTTTCCATGGCTGGGGGTAAACACCGACTGTCCTCCTGTGATATCAGTTACTTCAGGGGGTTGCCCCTGGACTGTGGGAGAGAGAGGTTTGTGGTTTCTGAGCAACCGTATCCTCGAGCCACAGCGGGGCAGTCCCCGGTTGTAACCCGGAGGCAGTGGTGAGTGAAATAATGACACCTGCCTGCAGGGGCTGGGGGAGCCTTTGACCTGTTATTAAAGCTCATTAATGCAGCTGGTTTGCAGTTGATGCTGCAAAACGGTACAAACTCTCAGTTCCACATCATATTCTGCAACGCAAAAAAGCATACTTTGATACAAGTTCAACGCTGGGTACTTTCACACAGTCCTAATAAGAAATCCAGACCTAGCAACAACAACAACAAAAAAGTATGTAACACCCACTGATTCTTGGATTGTAATAGCCCAGAATTTATGAGTTTGAAGTGTATATCCTTAAAAATAATTAAGCAGTCACGATGAATAATAACACCACTTTTTGAATTGTTTTTCGGAAGACATGCACATTAAATCATTTCATGCAAGATTTATGGACTAATTCACAAAGATTTTTGCATGTGCATCCGGGTTAAGAAATCCAGCTGAAATCCAGTGTTTACATGCAAGTTTTGTAAAATCATCAATTCATGTCACGTGTTATTCTTTTGAGTTTGCTCCAGATCTCCAATTTTGAGCTCTGACACCGAAAATACTTATCACCTAAATACGTGTTTCCATTATTAAGTCATTTACACTTAAGGAGTGCATACATGTATTTGCCATATATTCTCAGTTTTTGCTTTTTGTGCTACACTTAAATGTTCCAGGTCAACAATCAAAGTTCGATACTGGACAAAGATAACCTGAGAAAACTGAACATGCAGTTTTCAAATGGTATTTTATTTATTAGGATAAAACTCGTCCAAGCCAAACAGGAGCCTACGTGAAAAATGAATGAGTTAAATCAATAACTGGTCACACAATGTTTGTGAAAATAACAGTCATCAATAATTTGTTAAGTAAAGGGTAACAAGTGTTTTATCTCATGTGGATACATTTTTGGCCCTTGCTGCTTTGTAGAGTCGTTTTAAATCAGCTGAGTTTAAAGCTTCAACATCCTGATTAAGATCCTGCCAAGATCTCTCAATTGAACTTAACTTTGTTTTGTTGCCTTAATCCACTCATTCATTTGCTTGCTGGTGTGTTCTGAGTTATTGTCCCGCGGCATAACCCAAAAGGTTGAGCTCAGAAATTGCTCTCCCTCAGTGTTTTCTGTCTGAGTCCACGCTCCCAATCCGTTCCAAGCGCTTCTCTTCACAGTGACGTAAACATTATGTGTATTGAATCAGCCTCTCTTCTTTGAATCTTTGAATTTGGTCACTGCCTGCGTCCCCCAGAGGAGGCATTCATCAGGCTGCTGATGTGAGTGGAAAGGGGGATGCAGGAGAGGGGCTTATGGGGCTGAGTGGCTGCGTCTGTCCCATCGTGACCAATCAGGAGCGGGGTTAGAACCTTGCGTTACGGTTGTGCTGCATTCACTTACCACAGTGTGAGTGTGTGTCTCTCACAATCCAACTAAAACCGATCTATAATGTGGATTTCCGCTTCAAAGCGTAACAAAAGCCATAGATTTAACACTAAGTGTAATAATAATAACAATTCACATCCACTGTGCAGTTTTTATTACAAATGATTCTTTAAGATTGTGTTTTGTTTTCTTCTTTTCCATATGTCTTCATGAACTCTGTAGTATTTGTATTGCATTTTAAAGCTTCAGCGAGTTCTAACCAAAACAATTCAAACTGTTATCATCCCTTCACTGACGGATGAGGGAAGAGAAGAAATTTCATTCATTCAACTTGGGGAATTCAAGTTGTACGAGCGGTACCTGAAGGCAGCACGGTTCCTAAGGAGAATCCCGCACAGGAAGCAGGTCGCGCAGCCAGAATCCTCCGGTAAATATCGAGAAAGCAGGTTAGGTTTTCTTCTTCTTCCACTTTTCTAACGCACAGAACCCGAACGAGCTCGCGGTGCGGGGCTTTTCTGCTCGCCTGGCTCCCGGTCGGCTCGCCCGGAGCCTCGGGACCGGAGCTTTCTCTGTGACGTGATGGAGCGGAAGTGAGTAGACTTCAGGTGGGGCTCACCTGGCCTCTGTGTGCTGCTGGGACGCAGAAGCTGCACATCTCCAGTCTCGTGGTGTCTGATGTGGGTTTGATGGGGTTCAGCCTGCAACACTGTTGGCTCTCACTTATCTGCAGGTGTCGTTGTTTTACGTTTCTGCGTCATTTTGACTCCTGTTGTTATATTAACATGGTGATGTGAAAGAAAAACATTCCAAGGAGTCACATATTGATGTTTCAACAAAAAGTTACCCAGGTTTGCTCAGTGTTATACAAAAGTATAATATCTAGCAGAGAAAAAAAGTTACATATGTGGTTGAAATAATTTCACAAAAACTTCTTGCGCATCTTGTAGACTTTTGCATGAAATATGTTGCATTTAAAGCACAGACAAGAAGAAAGCCATTGACGACTTAAAGCCCCTAAACTCTTAACTAATACTAAGAAGTAAAGCATAAACTGATGTTTCAGTTACATTTGTGTTAAATGGATTTTTGGGGGAGTCAGCATTAAAGCATACGTATTTTCCTGACATCCATTTCTTTTCCTCCAATTTTTTTTTTGTTGTTGTAAATTTTCACTTTGGAAAAATGCTAGTGCAAGAACAGATTTTAAGATTTAAAGGGTTTTCAACATTCCTGGGCAACATCCGACGGGACCATATTTGGTTTATGTTTTATCATGTAACAATACATTTTCTTGAGATATGACATCAGTAAATGTGTGAAAGCTCAGAAATGAATCATGTTCCCAGAAATGTACGCATTGATGGAAATTTGAACGAATACATCAACGTTTTTGGTTTGGTTTAATAGATTTTTAATGTATTCCAAGGCGACTCTTTTGTCCTGAGGAAGAGGTTCAGTCAAGTATGATCAGTTTGTGTTATATTCAAAATGGCCGCCTGTGAAGAATAATGAGGCTCTTTGAACATGGAAGAACATGAAAAAGGTCAAACCTCCTCTTTTTATGCAGACGCATTTAAATTTCAAAGTTTATATAATAGCGTGAGTGAGGCTGCACCTACACGTTCATTGTCATCTGTCAGATATTCTTTAAAACATGAGCCTCAGACCAGCATAAATGTGAAACCTACACTGGGCTCACTTTGAAGACTTACCTGTGCTTTCTATGGTTATAATAGCAAAGCTCAGGAACAGTCTGGGAGAAAAATGTAGTGTATTATCTGTGGGACTTTAAAACCTCCCAGCAATAGACAAAATTATATTCCATTTGTCTTCATTTCTCTTCATTTAAGTAAATGAAATGGAACCGTTTTCCATTCAAGCCCATTTCCCTTTGGGGAAACTCCCAAAGGCTCCCTGGACCATCAGTACCGCAGCAGTTGGTTCTTCCGAGCCATTCCTCTTAGCGTCTCTGGGGCCGATGAGGATCCTGGTCGACTTCCATACTGCAATCAGATAATGTTAATGAATACGGGAAAATCGTGTTATTTCCAGCCACAGCA